CCCTAGTGAAAAAAATGAGAAAAAGAATGAATCTGGTGAAGGAATATGAGGCTTAACACCAAAATGAGTCAATACAATTGAAAAAGTCTTTTTTTTTTAACCATTTTAACAGTTATTTCTTCTCTAGACAGCCTCTCTGAACTTCCTTTTCCGAGTGAAGAGATCAGCTGAGACTCGTGCTTAGAGAAGGCTGATAGAAAACTACACTTCCAATTTCCTAATTAACAAAGACTTGAGGAACACAGCGTGGGCAAGACTGGCTTAGTCCACTCCGCACACCAATAGGTCACAAAATATCCCCTCAACCAGCCTCTGAGCAGCTCACATCCATGACGGTTCACAGAGAATGTGAAAAGCTTCAACTACACACGACAGGGAGAGAAGAAGAACAGCAACGGTCTTGCCAACATCCTTTTACAAGCAGAAATTAAGTTTTTCTAGGTCTTAGGAAGCATTTTAAACTGAAAAGTGATCAAAAAGACTATTTGATATAGGGAAAGTGAGTATTAATCCCAAATTTGATGATGGTTTTGTAAACCTGAGGATATGGAACGAGCGTTAACTACTACTGTTGGTCAATACTGCTAAGAACAGCAGTTCATCCAGCACAACAGGACCCTGATTCTATTTAAGAATAAATAATGTCAAATTCAATCACATAAATTGTGTCAAATTCAATCACATAAATCGTGTCAAATTCAATGACATAAATCGTGTCAAATTCAATGACATAAATCGTGTCAAATTCAATCATAAATTGATTTAATTGAAGATGATAATCCAGGTTTTAGGTATCCACGCTACCCCAGAAACACCTACATCTCTTAAAATTCAACTGAAAGCACTTTCTTTGTCAGATTTGCTACAAGGAGCAGTCAGAAACAAATCAATATATAATTTAGGGGGGGGAAAAACCCCAAAACAATAATAAAGCTTGAAAGATAAATGCTTAATTTGAGTTATTGAGGCTGCAAATGCTCCTACCCGGCTGGACACGAAGTCTCCCAGTGGACTGAGCAAATCCAACCCCGTTTTCTGCGATGCACTGGTACAAGCCAGAGTCCTCTTGGGTGACGTTGAGGATCCGCAGACGGTTCCCCATGGGAAGATGCCGGGGAGAGAGGCGGAGGGGAGCTGCGTTGTGGAGCCAGCTAAGGGTGGGAGCAGGAATTCCGCGGACGTCGCACCAGAAATGCACAGTGGCTCCAACGGCCGCCGTTTCATCTTGCAGCCCTTTGGAGATGGAGGCAGGTTCTACAAAGGGAAATAATTTTACGTTAAACCACCGTATGTTGATCTTTGCAGTGTTTTTTTCAGGACTTAGGCTAAACGTTAAGCAAATCTATTGCCTAAGGCTAAGCAAGCACTGTGTACTTCTAGTCCTACGCAGCCTAAAGCTGTTTTTCCCCCAAAACTTGGATTATTTTAGTGGCCTCTCCCTTCTATTCCAAACAGTCCCGTGTTTGCATTGCTACTGTAATTATATTTTCCAAATAATTCTTTAGTGTCATCCCCATAACAAAAGGTGTATCTTGTGTCAACAATCAGTTTTCTGAGTTACTCGAACATATACATTTCAAAAACCAAACACAAACACGGAGGCAAAAAAAACCCCAAAACCTCAAACAACAGGAAAATCTGCTACAAAGGGAAAGGGGGATGAGGAATGATTTGCAGCCACACAAAAGAAGCCAAGTTTATTTCTTTTGCTTTTGTTTTTTTGTCCTCATCTAAACATATCACATCTCATCACCAGCTTTTTGCTTGTATACAACCTCAAAAAGAGAAACATCTGATCTCTGGCACGTTATTGACACCATATCCCAGAGATACTTGGCACTCTGAGGTAAAATAAATAGGCAGTTCCTCCCTCGGAGTTTGTTATCCTGTACTGTGTAATTATTTCAGACTGTGATGGGATATTGAAGAGATAAATGGTTAAGGATTTGTATTTGGGAGAGATGATGAGATATGGTTGTTATGAAGGTTTCTTTAGTCTTTATTTTAATAGATTTTTAGGTTGAAAAGGAAGTGGTAGGCTATTTGGAATCAGATTCCAAAACCCAACAAATATACAATCAAAACGTTCATTGCCTGGACGTGAGAATATCTTTATTTCTTACCAAGTACAGTCAGTGAATAGTTAACGTATTTCACTGCTCCCAATTCATTTCCCACCACGCAGGAGTAATTTCCAGAGTCTGACACCTCAAGCTTGTCCGTCACCAGATGGGAGTGCAGCAGTTTCCACCTCCCTTTTCTCAGCGCGTCTCGACCGTCTTTAACCCAGCGGACGGAGGCCGGAGGTGACCCACCAACAACACATTCTAACGTCAGAGCGCTGTGTCGGGGCGCTGCCAGGTGCTGGGGTGCCAGGGGGTGAAGGATGTGGAATTCATCTGAGGAAGAACCTGGAGGAAAGGAGATGATTAATCTTCTAAACCTGTCTGTTAGTCCTGAGGTTTGGTTTTCAAGCATGGTTGCTTAAAGAGTTGTGACTTGGTGTGATATTGTGGGGCTGTGCTAACCTCATGAAGTTCAA